ATTATTATATCATTAATTATAATAAAACTAAAAAAATTAAGTTAAAAAAAGAGAAATTTTATTATTTTTTTAACTAATAAAAAAATTAATTTATAATTTTATATATATATGAAAATAATCTGGCACCCCTAAAAATAATCTGGCATCCCTGAAAAAAATTTTCAAGTTTCGCTACTGCCCTTGTTCATATAGCAATAACACTATTCTTTATTAGGATATATAGTATTCAGAAATTAAATAAAGTATCTGACTGCATCATTTACAACTTTTGCCAAATAAGTTATAAATTTTGTATCGCTAACGAAAATTATTACAATAATTTACATTTTATCAAGAAAAAACTAATTATTTAATCCTTTAAAGATAAAATTCTTTCTTTAAAACAGATGCTAGTAATTGTTTTATTCTAACCTACAAGCTACTTATATAAAGGGTAATTGGTTTGGTCTTGTATTTTTTATAGAATATATGATATTTAAAATAATTACTTTTAAGCTACTTTGAATATTTTTTATACGTAATGTTCATGCTTAAAATCGATGGTAATGATATAGCACTTATACTATAATGAATAATTCTTACATGAGATTTTAAGTTAAGAGTCAATTCTTGACTCTTATTTTCATTGGAGATAAATGAGGCAACATCTAGGTGAAAAATTGGTTCTTGTATAAGAACCAAATTCTTATCATATTTTATTGTGGAGTTAAGAGGGAGGGAGGGAGAGAGTTGTGAGCCATATTGTGGGATCAATTAAGAACCTAGCTAGGTAGCATTCTAATAAAAATTAATAAATATTCTTGAATCTTACATTAACTTAATATGACCCACTAAAAGACATTTAAGAATCCAAAATAAATTTATCAAAAAGATAGATATTAAATTTCAATCACAACAATAAAAAAAAGTTGAATACTTATTTAATTAATAGATAGTCTAATAGTCAACAATTTAACAAATTAATCAAACTAAAATATTTTTAATATAAAAATATCAAAGTTGTTATACCCTGAACAATAAAAATTATATGTTGATGAGATGAATTTAGACCTTACATAAAATTGTCTAAACATAATACTTTTACATAACTTTAACTTTATTCATTTTCAAAGTCATGCCCATCAATTAATTAAAGTTGAATTAACATATAGATTTACAAGATGAATAATTAAATACTTAAATCAACTTTACTTTAGGATACCTTTTATACTTTGTTCAAATGTAAAGAAAAATTGAAACAAAAATTAAATACAATAAAGAGAAAAAAAACATTTTATTACATTTTTTTTTTTTATATTTGGAAACGAATTAATCCCTCACAAAAGATAGATTATCATTTAATTTTTTAAAACTCTTAACTTTATAAATACAAATATAGTTGATTTAATAAAAAAAATTCATATATAAAACCTTTTTTAATACTTATTACATTAATACTAATTTCTCATTTTTTTTATCAAAAGTCATTAATTAGTTTAATATATTTTTTAATTAAGAATTAAAATTCCATCTTCAATATGGAACTAGAGAAGTTGTGGGTTAATGTGCTTAAGGCAAAATATGGTTGCACTAAGTGATATCAGTGGGACATAATAACTTTAAAATAACTCACGCACAACAAAAGTAACAGAGGAGGAAAAACTGAATTCTTCACTTAATATATTTCATTTCCTAACATGATCAATAAAACAATACAACATATGGCCTTTATATAGGCTTTACAAACTAATATAATATTATATTTAGGAAACTCATTTGCGAAGGAACGAGAAAGTTAGTATGTAAATTGGCTTTGTCCACCACAATTAATGGTGTCAAACTTTGCTACTGCAATTTCAATTTCGAATTTTCAGGTGCGGCAGTACAGCTTTGTAGGCACCTACAATCTTGATTTAATCAATTCTGACATTGTCTCCCTTAAATCAAGCTTGTATCATTCCAAGCATTCTTTTTAACTTATAAAATAACTCAGCTTTTAGTGGCTTTGTAAAAATATCTGCAACTTGTTAATCTTGCTACAGGAGCAAATACCTCAAAATAATCAATACCTGGCTTTT